GTCGACAACCAGACAATCATTACAGTCTTCTCTTTGTAGTAATGTTTATACTCTCTCGTGTTCGTCAGTTGCAACATTGTCAGAGAACATCAATGTATTATCTCCTATTGTAAGTGAACCTTTAGCTTCCACAAGCAAAACTTAAAACTTGGAAAATAGACCAATTTTAAGTAAAAATTTTATTCCAGAGAAAAAAATATTCTACGTTTTCTGACCACTGGAACAGTAAAATGTGGTACTTTACAGTTAGTTTTGTGAGCAGCATTTTGCAATGTAACTGCTATAAAAAAACTGTGTGCTTGCGGCTTTCGGACCTTGGATGACAAAGTTTTATGTTTTAGATGAAATGCAAGTTTTTATCATGTCACTAGTATACAAGTAGTAAAGGATATTTTCACAACAATTAATGATTGCAAATCAAATCAAGCTGTACTGTTTTGTATTGTGAAGAATTAATTGGTAAGTTTGGTGAAACTAAATTAAGATCTTCTCATCAAAAAAGAATATGACAATAGAATATCTAGAATGTATAAACCTAATATACAGAAAAATGTAGTTAAGTGGTCTATTAATGCAACTCGTAAAAAAAAATCGACTAAACCATATTGCATTACAAGCAGAAATTTCAAAGACAGACATCCAAAAGACAAAAAATCGATAAAAAAGAAAAAAAGGAGCTGGATTGATATATTAAATGATATAAAGAATTTATATAAACAATTAACATCATTGTCTACCAATCAACTTGCTAGCTTAAATAACATTATGTCAGAAAGAGTTGTAGGGAGAGAAGTCTACCATGAATGGTTTGGTACAGCTAAAAGCATGTCTGTAATGTATGATAGACAAGTAGTTAAAATAAATAAAAAAAAAAAAGACAGAACTTTACTATTTCTTACTAAAAGAAGACAAAAATTTACAATTTCTTATTGAAAATTTGAAGAAACCGATTCAGAAGGTGTTGGCTATTGCATGAATAAGTTCCATCTTGGAGATGATGTTATATCAGAAAGAGTTAATATTTTTATAAATTTGCTATATGGTTTTAAATGTGTACATATGATAGACTGTAATAATATTAGTTTTGTGATATAAGACATTTAAATATTTATATATTTATATAAATAAAGGTAAATGTTATGTAAATGTATATTATTTACATATATACAAACAAAGTACCGCAAGTGGTGTGACTTGCAAAATAGGTACAACACTTGGTATGACTAGCATAGGTACCAATTTATTCCACCTTGCAAATCAATTTATTCCAGCCTGCAAATGTCAACTTTTTTATGCCTTTCTTTGTTTTCATATGTAATACATTGTAGTACACTGATTAAAATGTTGTAATAGTAAATTTGGAATGGATTTTTTTTGAAGATTTAATGTTGAATCCATTCAATTGAATCCATTCGCTAAAAAAAAATAATCAAATTTTAACAATTTACAAAAATGTTGTAATTTGTTAAAGTATTTATACAAAATATTGGATACATTGTAGTATTTTACATGTTTTTTTATTTACTTTTTTTTTTAATGATTTTAGGTTGAATTGACAAAAATAAATCAAATAATGTGAAAATTTACAAAACCAAAAATTAAAAGTCACATATCATGCTGATTTGGCATGGAGTGACCAAACTGCAAGTGGTGTTAATTGTAATTTTATGATAGACGGCTATGGCTTACGTTCTTGCCGTGTTTATTGTTGATTGATGTTAAGTTACAATGTTGACAATGATTGTTATTAAGTTTCATTGTTGAAATTTAATTTTTTTATCATTTACTAAATACCAAGACAAATTAATTACAGTTTTTGTTTCGAAATATATTATAGTTTTATTTTTTTATATGAAAGGAGGAGACGGTACAATTGCTCCATTTACTAAAAATATAGATAATTTAATGCACCTTGTAATATGGTAAAAAATATATATTCTAATTTCTTTTATTTTAATAGTATCAAATTATATTTATTAAATTTTTTTTTTAGGATAGAGTGGCGGGGGAGGGGGAGGCTGCAAGAGTTAAACGTCCCTCACCCTAAGTCAATGTATATGTTGTAAAGAAATGTAAAAAAATCATTAGTATATGTTGTAAAGAAATGTATAATAATATTTTATATTAGATAAAGTATTTTATATTAGATTTAATCATTTTAATAAAGATAAAGATATTTATATGAATTAACTATTTTTGATAAAAAGCTGTGTTAAACCATCACACTACCATCCACCCTTAACTCAAAAATACATCTTTCATTTTTGGTCGTGGTCTGAATGCAAATTCTAACGGTTTCTTGTATACAAAAGTTACAACTTTTGATAAAATAAACTCGTTTTGTTTAAAAAAATGAATTTTTGGAGAGTGTAGTTGTTGGTTCGGTGCCCCCTCCAGACCCCTAAATACTCAAAACTATTATAAATTTGTAGCCCACACCTTTCTTTTGATAACAAGTTGTAAACATTTTGATAAGAATTAAAAAGCTATAACAATTTACGCAAAGAAAAACTTTGATTAAGTTCTTCAACAAAATTTTGATTAAGTTCTTCAACAAATCAATATATCAAAAATTTGCTACTTAAAACCTTCTAACATTTTGTAGAACTGTTCGATTTTTATCATTTTTTCACCATTAAAATACTGTACTAAAGCTCTTTCCAATAATATATAAGAATCTAGTAATTAATGAATTTAAAATTTTCATATAACATATCTACTGTATGTAGCTAAAATGACGTTATTCGGTTGACCAGTAAGGTGTCCCAAAAACAAACTTTTTTTAAAATTTCAATGTGCTCTCAACTGATCCCCATTCTATAGGTCCTAAATAGCTGCCAAAATCTTTTTTTTAACTTCTTAATGATTAGAAGTGATAGATGTAAACTCTGAGTACATAAAAACAGCGCTATCTAGTATTTCAATACGTTTTAATATGATATAATAATTAGTACACAAATAATTTCCATAGGATATTATTAAAGAATAGGATCATTCCCTATGAACATTGTTAGCGATTGATATTTTTCCCTCTGGACAATATTATTAGTTGGTATAATTCCCCATGGATTGGTTCACAAATAACTCTATTTAGAAATTTTTTTTGAAGGAAAAAGTTCTAAATGGAATTATTTGTGCACGACGGAATTCTAATTTGTGCACGAAGAAATTCTCGTGTAAACGGTTATAAAATCCGTAACGGTAAACTTAGATAAAATATTATACGAGAGGGAATAACGACTTCATAGATTTTTGATGCAAGTGTAACATTTAGTAAAAATTTAGTTAAAAAACTGATTATTTTGAAATTCATATAAAGATGGGTAGAACAGCTAAAAAAAAGATGATAGGACAGAATAAGAAAAAACGGAAAAATACAGAAAGGTTGAGGTATATTTACCTATTGAAGTACCCACTGAGGGAGTTACCTCAGAGACAGCTTCCATCTAATGGTGATATTCTTAGATACTATTAATTTATCCTTCGCGAGTCACAAGTTAAATACAAACATACTTCTACTAATGTTGGTTGCAAATTGAAATCGAAATCCAAGGATTTTGTTTGTGAAAATGGTGTTTGTACAGATACTGATAATTCTTGTTTGGTATCTAGGATTAAAAAAATTTGGAATAATGCTGGGTTTGGCAAGAAATTTATGATTTGTGGGTACAATATAAAGACCAAAATCATTAAACTTATTTTAAAATACAAGAAATTGATTAAATTGTCTTCTCTAAACTGGAACAGCAGTCTTGATAAGCAATCAAAGTTAGAGAAAGATTTTCTCACAGAATCCTATCAGCTTTTTGACATCTCGACTAAGAATTTTAAAAAAGATATTCTTGCTGATAGATTGAGAACAGATGATGCCAATCTGGAAGATATAAAGTAAGTTCATTAAATAACACTTTTTTTAGAAGTGAGATTTTTTTTCCAATTAAAAGTAACTTAAGTAATAGCATATTATTTCCTTTAAAATATTTACGTTTAACACTTTACATGGTTTGGTCATCTTCCTAGAAAAACTAGAACAATTATTAATTTATTATTTATAATTGGCTTAATAGATTTAAATATTTCTTAGTTTTTATGAAGACCAGAAGTTACATAGGAAAGGATATATGGAAACAAAAGTCGATGAAGACTACAGTAGAAGAGTACTGGATGCAAACAGGAGAAAGAACAAGCTAGTTAAGTTGAGAGAGAAAGAATTAGAGAGACAGAAAAACTTAAAAGATATCAATGTTTTGTTGTCAAACGAGGACTCTGAAATCAGCGAGGAAGATGATTTCCTGGGTAACGGTCGGAAACGCAGGTATTGTATTATTTTCATAACATAGTTGTAATCTTCACAAGCTACACTCTTACGAAAATCAATAAACGAACCAAATTTGAATATCTAGAAAATCAAACTAAGTTGGTTTTCTAGAAAACCGACGCTTTTTGGTTTTCTGGATAATCAAAATTGGTTCGTTTATTTGGACAAGCCGTAAAACCAAAAATTGGTTTTCCAGCAATAACGATTAAAATAAAAATATGTCATAATTTTTAAAACGAAACATTTATGATTATTTTACTAAACTTAGCTTCATGAGTTTTGTTTCATAGAATAGAAATAATCGGCAAGAGATTACAATTTAATACAAAAGTTGAACTTTATTAATTTTTTACCATATTTTATACGCTTTTCATATCTATTTATATAAATTATATATAAATATATTTAATACTATAGTATTCTATATAATATTATGTTCCATAGTACATAAATCCTTCTCTCTCTCTCTCTCTCTCTCTCTCTCTCTATATATATATATATATATATATATATATATATATATATATATATATATATATATATATATATATATATATATAGAAGGATTTATGTACTATGGAATATTATACTATATAATATTATACTATTATATCAGTTAAAAAAGAAAAAAATTCTCTATAAAAATAACTATAAAGTGGAGAGTTCAAAAAAATAAACTTGATTTAAATAAAGATTTTGAAACAAATTAATAACATCAATATGTTATTGAGTTTTATAATTTAATATTATAAGTTCAAAAAACTAGCAATGCTTTGAATGTTGCCAGGAAGTTTACTCCTTCGTTCGAAAACGTAATTTTCTAGAAAAGACAGGATTTTTTGTAGTTTCTTTGGATACGCAATATCAAAAATATAATATGAGCAGATGACGAGACCCAAACCACAAGTTACATCTGGAACAGAATTGCTTAGTGTCAGCCCGTCAACTACAAGACTTATTCGTGTTGGATTTATAGCATCTCCTTCAATTTTCAGAGCAGGAGTTGGATAGATTGGATCCTAATAAAAAGAAGCATATAATTAATAAATATTAAAAATTGCATTAGTTAACTTTATTAGTATATTTAAATAAATAAACATATAAATAATATATATGCAAATAATTAGAATAAAAAATATATATAATTGTTAAAAATATTAAAATAAATATTGCATCAAAATTAAACATTGAGTTTTTAAGTAATAAAAATTGAACTGAATAATTTTTTCCATCAATTTTTATTCAAATAAATGAATATTAAAATGACTTATATGATATAATGATATACAATCATTTAAACGAATCAATGATATAATGATATACAATCATTTAAACGAATCGATGATATAATGATATACAATCATTTAAACGATCAATAAAATTTACTAGTGTCATGGTGAACAAAAGTGCTTCTTCATCACAAAAAATGCTTGGAAGAATTAAACAATGAAGGTTTTTTATTGTTGCTAAAAATAGAAAAATGAAATAAAAATTACAAAATTAGAGTAGTAATTAAATAACTTTAATATTAAATTAACAATTATTACCATCACTAATCTCATCAAGTACCTCATTGCATAATGTTTGCCATCTAGCTGACAAAGGTTTTTTTTAAATCTATTAACTTCTTTATTGCCTCCTTTATTCTACCCAATAATAACAAGCAGTTATTGTCAATAACTATATTTGTTATAACTCTTGCTGCTGCAAAAAGCTAAAAATAAAACAAAGAAAACGACTTCACTATGCAATTAAATAAAAAAATATCCTTGAATTCCACCCTAATATTACAAGGACTTTTCTAAAAAATTTGGAAAGTGGTACCCTGGAGCAGCATATGTTATTTAGCTGACCAAAAATAATATTTGCAAACTTTGCAAAAAACAACACAGACAATAAAAAAGTTTAATAAACACAGAAAAATTAATTTTGAACTTCCCACGCCAAGGCAGTAAATATCTTTAAAGATGCAACTAATTGTCTTACAGGATTCGTAGCCAAATATTTATATAAAATTCCATAAATTTTTCCTAACTTTTTTGAAAAATCAAACACATTTCCCTGACTATTTTCAACAATAGTTTTTGTAAAATGTTTGAAACTATTATCTAATGTAATGTAATGGAAATGCTAAAATTGTACATGCTTTAAATGACAAAACTTATAAAACTTAGCTATTAGTTAAGCTGGATATTAGTATGGATCTTATTATACATGTTAGAATGGATCTTATTATTAAGGATGACTAAGAATTAACACTAAGAAAAACAAAATTTCAGAAAAAGTAAAAAGGTAGCATCAACAAAAAAATAATAGCTGAATTGTAAAACGGGTAACTTAATCTGAATTACCTGACATTTTAAACTATCTAAAGAAGAAAAAAAAAAACCCTGACTTTTCCAGGTTTTCCATGACTTAAGCCAAAATTAACAAAATTTTCAGGTTTTCCAAGTACAGTACAAACCCTACTTTATTTAGTTTTATAATTTTAATTTTTTTATGTATTTTTATATAGTTTATGTTTATTGAAAGTAAACCTCTTTATAAAAGTAATAAAACAACTGAAAAATTGTTATTCAAGTTCTTGCGTTAAGCTGCTCTCAAGTTCATTAAATGGGCGAACTATTGCTCATATTCAGGAAAGCTGCAGTTTTAAGACAACATTAAAAGAGCAATATAGATACAAAAAAATACTACATAAACCACTTTCAAATTTTTCATAGTAAAGTGCTGGGAATTTATTAAGGACATCTAAAGTTCTTTCATTTCGGCATGTATATTTTAATGCCTCAATTGACAGGATAATCTGGTGAGCCAAAAATTCAATATCTGGGCGCAGTTTCTGACACTCATTCGTCATGCTTTTTATAATATGTTGAGTTATACCATCATCCACATTCTATTATATAATAATTAAAATGTAACTATTTTTTTTTACGGATTTATGCTATCAACTCAAATACACTATGTATTTTCTCACATAAATATGTATTATAAATGCAGTGAAATCGTGCTTACCTTATCACTTGAATGATGGCAGTGACGTTTTGCTGAGCAAAGATTAACAGACTCATTCAGCAAGACAGAATTTCGCTTATGACCAGAATTAATTCTAGAGTACTTTATTTTAAACTTTGCAACTTGCTCATCATTTAGAAGAGGACGCCTAACTTGCTTAAATTTTGCCTTCAACAAATGCACAAGAAGTTCCTGACAATAGAATAAAAGAAAAAACTTCTTAATAACACCATTGATATTATTAGTTTTAATTATACAGTTAAATACTCACAAAGCCATTGCAGTGACGAGGTTTTAGAGAAGGATACCTTAGGAAAAGCTCATTTGATATTTCATAGAAGTTACTTGTACTTGGAAATCTATAAAGCATTTATTTTAGTGAAAAGCAATAACTTATTTTATTATTATTGACAGCTATGTTAAGAAATATAAAATACCATTATTTTGCCAACTTTGATACTGATAATAAATGTTTACTTTAAAAATTAAAAAATTATACTATTTTAAATTATAATTAACACAGTAATCAAAATACTTACAACCCGTATTGTTGCTTCATGACATCAAAAATAAAATTCATAACATACTCCTTTAGTTTTGATCTTTTTAGAATACTAAAGTCTATTTCTTTTCTTTCTACAGCAGCAAGGAGAAGAGGGGGCAATTTAGTTTATCAGACTGAATACTAAAAAATAAATTCAAGACATGAACTATGAAACAACTTTTTATATTATACAGTCGTAATAGTGTAAAATGCGTGCACACCCACAATCTTGGCTAAATATATTGTATCAATTTAATTATTTTTTTTTTGTTTAATAATATAACATTTTAAATAAGATAAAATTTAAAAGAAAATAAACAAAGTTGTAAATGTTTACAAACAAACAAAACATAACTTAAAAAGATTCAAAAATAGTAGGTGCCTCGTTATTGTCACAAACAGGTGATAATGTAAAACTTACATTACATGAGTTTAACATAGGTGATGATGACCTTACACATATAACATTCTTTGATGCTAATTCTTTCTTAAAAATAACTCTGTCTTTAATTGGAGGAATTAGTTCCTTTAACATAAAATCATCTATTTCGTTAATAAATGAACCATCAATATCTTCTCCTGTATAACAATACTATAATATTAAAAAAACATGACCTTCTGAATGAATGTTAAACTGTTTAAATTGAAATGAAAGGTCTAAAGAATATGCAAAAATGTTTAACATATGTTCAACATTACTAAGTATGTATCAAGGTACATTATTATATTTCAGCTATGCTATTATATTTTTATAATAAAATAAAAGAAGAATTGGTAAAATGTGTTATATTGTACCAACTCTTGTACCAAGTTATTTTATAAGAAAATCAAATAAAACAAAATTAATTCAAATCAGTGAAAATCTAAAAAAATGATTTTTTTTTGTTGAGTTTTAATCAGTTAAACTAACAACTTAAATATATGCAAATGTAATATTATTTTGTTGCTAAACTACGTAAAGTAACTAAAAGTTGTCCATCAGATATTAAATATCCATCTAAAGGTTCATGTGATACTTCTTGTCCAGAAAGAATAACAACCCAAGAAGATATTTCAATTAGATTATAAGCATGTAAATAAAAAACAAATTTTTCACAAGAACACAGTTTACCACACAAGATCCATAAACCATTAATTTTAAGGATATACTTGAGTGACATAAAAATAAGAGTACCATCATCTAGAATGTTAAGAACAATAAAGTCACCACTTAAAATTAAATTTACTATCAACTAATAGTTATAGTAACTATAACTATTAGTATTAGTTATAGCATAAAAATTGTAATCATAACGATATATCACATGATTAAAAAAGTTATACTATATCTATTAATTATAGTTACAGTAATGGTATTATTATTATTAAATATGCATAATTAGTAGTAATAATATTGCTACTACTTTTTTAAAATTATAGCTTAACGACCATATACTATATATTGTTATAAGCAATATAAAACGATATATTGCTATTAGCAATATATGGTATATATTGCTTATAACAATATATTCAATATATAAAATTATTGCTTATTGCTAAGCCTTAGGATTACTAAGGCTTAGCAATAAGCAATAATTTTATATATCAAATTCATATATTGAAAGTTATTGCTTAGCATATAGTAATGCTAAGCAATAACTTTGAAAATAAAAACATTAGAGATATATTTTAAATAGAAATAACAAATACTAACAGGTAAAAAGATATTTGATGCCATTAGTTTAATAAAATAATTGAACGACTGCTTAGAAAGTAAAATTTAAAATAGATAACAGCAATTCCAATTTTTCAAGTAAAGAATAGATGACAGAAGTTAAATAGCGCGCTTGTTTAAAACTAATATGGAAGCTGTAAACAACCAATCAAATTTAAAGATAATAGGAAAACCAAAATAAATTAAAATCACGCTTTAATTTTCTAAGAAACCAATAGTTTTTTAAATATGAATCGTTGGAAAACCAATTTATTTTTGTTTCTCTTGCAAAAAACCAAATCATTTTTTGCATACGCCATAAAACCTTTGGGTTTTCTGTGAAACCGATTGATTTTCTAGATAATCAATGAAAAACCAATTTTCGTAAGAGTGTAAAGCTGTTTTATTGAAAAGTATATAATTATAAATAGGTAGAAAAATATTATAAAATGATACCTAGGTACAATTCTGGAGATAGGATAAATCTAGCAGTGAATGTTAAAAAGCTCATTGAATGTACTGCTATTCCAGCAACAAGGTTCAATGTTGGTGTATGACCTCATCTGGCAATTTTAAGTGAAGTATTTAAAGCTGGAGGTATAGAAATTAATGATATACCGCTTTCACGAAGCACACTTCATAGAAAAAAGTTCAAATATGTAGAACTTGAAGGAGACTCGGAGTGGATTTCAATATCTAATCATCTTAAAAGCCGACGGCTTATTCTTCATTTTGATACCAAACTGTTGGAACAAATTACCACTGGGCTTAACATTATTCAAAAAATTGATCGACTTGCAGTCTCAGTGAGTTCCCCGGATGACGATACCATGGAAGACCATCTTTTAGGTGTTGCTCAATGTCCCTCTTCAAAGGGAGTTGACCAAGCAGAACAAGTGCACAATCTTTTAGAATATTACGGATGTAAAGAGCAGATCATTGGTATATGCTGTGATACAACTGCAAGCAATACAGGCGGAGTAAATGGAGCAGTCAAAATTCTTACAGATATTTTGAAATTACCAATTTTGTGGATAATGTGTAGGAGACACATATATGAAGTACATGTATCTCACTGTATGGCTGCCCTCACTGGTGAGAAAACTAAAGGTCCAAGAAGAGCTCTTTATGTCAAGCTAAAGAACAAGTGGCCTGAAATCTGTGAGAAAGTGAATGAAGTGAAAAATTTATGTAAATTGGACTGGCAAAGAGATGATCTGAAGATTGGCACTGTTCTTCGCACTGTTGCAGAGGAAGCTAAGACATTTTTGACTAATGCAACTACTGATATAGTGTTTTCAAGGAATGATTATGGTATAGTTTGTAAGCTTGCCTCCTTCTTCCTTGGAGTGGAAGTACAAAATTTTAAGTTCCATCAACCTGGCGCCTGCCATGAGGCAAGGTTTTTAGCAGATGCGATCTACATCCTGACTCTTTTTATGACTAAAGATATCAGTAATATCTTGACAGAAAAAGAAATGCTGCAGTTGAAGGATGCAAGTTTGTTCATTGCAATTTGCTATGTTCCATGGTTTTTAAAAAGTCTTTTAGGATTTCTGGCTCCCTACAATGATTTGAAAGCTATCCAGACAGCCTATGCATTGAGAAAAGTTAAATTATTGGAAATGCTTTGCTTCTCAGCAATGGACGCTATACGTGGTACTTAACTCCGCAACTCTGTGTTTTTTCCTTTGGGGATAAAGAAGTTCCTTCTGAAACAAAGCTAAGAATGCTGTTAGCTCTGATTGAGTTTGAAGCCAAATGAATTTCAGCGTTGAAAACCATCAAATGTACAAATTGGAGAGACCACAGAGCTGCCTGAGTTGATTTCCGAGCAAAGCTATCTTCTCTTCAAACATTTTAAAATATCAAGAGCAAGTATAAAAGAATGGCTTAATAATAGTCTTAATACTATAGATGTTTTTAACCATCCTCAGTTGCTAGATTTTATTGCATGGATCAAAAACATATCTCATTAAAGATTTTATTTCAGCTACTAGAGATGAAGATCACCTTCAAAATGTACTTTTTGTAGTTAAAAAGTTCAGAAAAAACTTGACTAAGACTATGTCTAAAAAGGAGCTTGGGAACTGTTCAAAAAGTTGTATTTTTTGAGAAATGTTTCACCGCAATAAAATCTTAAATTTGCTAATAAATATTAGTTTTCATGTATTTTTTTTGTATTTTCATATTTATAAATATAATCTATCAAGTTAAATAGTAGAAAACAATTGGTAATGATTTATACCCATCTAATTGTTTTGTTTTAATTTTCTAAAATGTGTTTTCTATTAATGTTAAGCTAGCTTAACATTAAAACAGTAAAACTCAGATTTTACATCTAGCACTTCCTGTCAAAATAAAACCGTAAAATTTTTTTTAGTACTTATTTAGGTCACATAGAATGGGAATCAGTAGAGAGCTTTTTTTTTTTTTTTTTTTGGACACCCTATTTACTAGCTTTCATCTTGAAAAAGATATGTGCATAAGTTACGCTTCACATGTCAAGCATGAAAATATAATAAAGAAACTTATGCATCCAATGAATGTAATAATATCAATTAAGTTAAAAGTCAAACAAAATTTGAAACAATGGAATGGCCATACGTAGCAATAAAAATGCAAACTGTACTGTCAGTATGAAGAAATCGATTTTGGCAATATTGCACTGGTAGTCATAATATTGCCAAAATCCAACAGGTAGTACAAGTTGGTACAGATACAAGAAATTAGAACCTAGTGTACAATATAGATCAAATATAAATTTCTCTTTTAGATCCAATTAATACTTTGCCTTGTCTTTATAGAATTATGTTATGATGAGTTGTTGAAATGAGTTGTGTAGCAGCCGTGGTGCAGTGGTAGCGCACTTGCCTCAGAAAAAAAGAATAAGTGGTTCAAACCCCACCTCTACACAAGTTTTGCGTCATCGGTTAGGAAGGAGGCGTGACCTTCCTATTAAATGCTCATCCGCGGTGCTCTGTGAAAAGACCATAAAGACTTCTTGGAGCACCTAAATAAAATTAAAAAAAAAAAAAAAAGAAATAATGTTTACACAGTTAAACTCAAAATTCAAATAAATAATATAATTTGGAACAAATGTCCAAAACATATTTTTGTCAGTAGAATCATATTAGAGCTTGGTGTTTATTCAGCAATACTGGAGTTTAATGAAGGGTCTTTTGGAATAGAGTCTCCAATTAAAACGGAATTCTATGTACTCAGCCTTTTTTTAAACTTTCATGTCGCAGAAATAGTTACAGAGTTAAAGTTTTGAACAAAAAATCAACTAATGATGCAAAACTACTCAGAAAAACCATAAAAAAAAATAAAAAAGGACTTATTGACTATGGAGACCAATCTGATGTTCCAAAAAGCTGTAGGAGCTGTTTAATAATAGTTTATTTTTAAAATGATTTTTATGACACTTTGATTTTTTCGTCTTTTTCCTTCACTTTAAACATCATAACTTGGCCAAAAATTTATCAATTTGCTTGAAACTTTCAGGAAATATTCCTAATAATATTCTCTAAAGGATGAGCAAAGCAGGGTTTTTTGTGTATTTATATGACTGTTTTACTAAAATATCAAAAAAATCGAAAAAAAAAACAACCTTTTAACAAAATGTAAAAAAAAAATGAAACAAAAATGAGTTTTAGCTTTGTTAATTTAATTTTTTTTTTGCTTATTCTTAAGTATAGTAAGAGAACATTTGTTAAATATGATTCAAAATAAACTAGTTTTTCTTGAGTTTAGGTTTGAGGTTTACTATGATTTATCATTAAAAAAAAAAAAAAAAAGTTTATAATTTTTTAATTTTTTTTTATTAATTGATGTAAATAATAGTTTGTTTACTAATAAAATCAATAAAGTTATTTTTTTCAAAAAAAAAAACTATTTGGTGATGAACCACTTTAAAGAAACTTTAAATAGGTTTGAAAAAAATCAATATACTCTTGGGGTTTTTTATATAGCTCTAAAAGCTTTAGATACTGTAAACCATGATAATTGTTCTTTACTAGGGTTCGGACTATTGTAATTGTAATGAAAACAATAACAGTTACAATAACTATTAATATTGTATTAATTTTTTTTCAGAAACATCAACAATATATATGATTTACAATTATTGTAATATTATAATACAATAACAATAAATATTGTATTGCAAATCATCTTCATATTACAGTAACATTATCTAAAAAAAAAGGTATTGTAATGTCCCGTTACAATAACAATAAACATTGTTTTTTATCTTTATAATGTATATAACTACTTATAAGTATTGTATTTTATCTTTATAATTCAATAACAATTTACTGTTATTTTAATGAAAAAAAATTATTGTAATGACAAAAATTAGAGATGTTTTAATTGTCCAGTTGCCCACTATATACCCTTGTACCCTTGAAATAGAGTACAACTAATATTTAATGATTGTTTCTATTTTACTGAAACATAATGGGACGGGGAAGGAGTGCCAGAATGGTAAACTGGGCAACTTTAAATATTGAAAGTCAAATTTAACGGGATCAAAAAAAAGAAAACCACCATTTTTTTGTAAATGAAAGGGATTCGCCAGACCTAAGATAGCGGTTTAATATAAAATACGTCCTGAGAAAGGTAAAATAAACAATA